CGCCATTTTTGGCGCAAAGTGCTCTCCTGCGATCGCCTCCTACGCGCTACGAAAGGTGATTGAAAGTCAAGTAGAAGTTGGACTCAACAAGCACTCAGCATCTGACATTGCAAAGCAGTTCTACATGGACGACTACGTGGCCTCAGCAGAAAGTCCTAAGAGTGCTGCCGACCTACTTCACACCGTCACCAAGCTCGTCTCCACAGGCGGGTTCACCCTGCGAAAATGGACAAGCAACTCAAGAGAGGTGATGGAATCTGTTCAGCCGACCGATAGGGCTCGTTCCGAATTGGACGCATTCACTCCGCTCTCTCCTGAGCGCGTGCTCGGCCTGATCTGGGACACAGAACAGGACACGATCGGTCTAAACGTTCCGAAGAAACGAAATCTCCCAACAACGAAACGGGGAATTCTGAAGGCAATAGCAGCGGTATACGACCCGCTCGGTCTGCTGTCGCCGTTTATGCTGCAGGCAAAGCTGTTGATGCAGGGTCTATGGAGACAGCAGCTTACATGGGACAGCCAGCTGGACGAACAGGACCTTCACAGGTGGCGATGCTGGCAAGAGGAAGCCAACATCCTCTCACAGCTACGGATCTCTCGCTGTTACACCGCTCTGGATGGACCAGTGAAGAGGTCAGAGCTGCACGTGTTCAGCGATGCCTCGGAAGCAGCCTTCGGCGCAGCAGGCTACCTCCGGCAAATCGACGCGACCGGCGCTATCCAATGCGCGCTGGTCATGAGCCGGACTCGAGTCGCTCCTCTGAAGCAGCTGACCGTGGTCCGTCTGGAGTTGCAGGGAGCTGTCTTAGCTACAAGACTCGCTGAAAGTATCACGTCAGCACTATCTATGTCTATCGACAGCGTCTACTTCTGGACTGACAGCCAGGTGGTGCTTGGCTACATACAAAATGAAAGCAGATGCTTTCATACGTTTGTCGCCAACCGCGTAGCGGAAATCAGGGACAAGTCGGACCCCGAACAGTGGCGGCACGTCCCCGGACCGCTAAATCCAGCCGACGACTGCTCCAGGGGCCTGGAGGCCTCTGCTCTCACGCCGGACAGTCGGTGGTTCCGAGGTCCGAGCTTCTTATATGAGACGTGGTGCTAGTTGCTGAGAGTAATGTACCTCGTGGCCGCTGGCCCCTGGCTCGGGTAGTCAAAGTGTTCCCGGGATCAGGTGGACGAGTGAGGTCAGTCGAACTAAACACGCAGAGTGGCACATATGTCCGACCTGTCGTCCGGTTGTGTGTTCTCGAGGAGTCGGAGTGAGCACGCACGTGACGCAGGGCGTGAGGAATATCGGTGTTGTACATAGGATCCTGAGATCGTCTCTGAGGCGCGCGAGTATATCGTTAGACTGTGCGCTTGTTAATGGACAGACGGCCTCCAAAAGGTACTGGAGGTAAATGTGTCGTATGTTACCTGACTATATCGGTTATTCGGTTCGATTTCTGGGGGGGGGGGGGGGAGTGTGTCGCCGACGCAACGAAAGGCGACAGCGATTGGAGCGCACGAGGAACGTTAATATTTTATCTATGATTTTACTGAACGTTCCGACGGGTTCCGACGAAAAATACAGTTTTTTGAGTGCATTACGACGATTCGTTTCCCTTCGCTTTTCGTATTCGTAATATGGGAATTTTTCGCATTTAACGTAATGTATTCATTAACTCAACATTCGTGATTGTTGTAACGACAACATGTTCTAAAGTGAAGTAACTGAAGTTACAGCTTAAAAGCTTAAAAAAACAGCTTAAAAAACACACACACACACACATTCGATAGCTTATGAGAATAACGTGCCTTGTGTGCTTAATGCAGGAAAATATTTTTTTCACTTTTTTAGAACAGCAAAAGAGTTGTCAACAAGCCATGTCAACTATCTAAACAATTTTTATGAAAACTGCTCTAGCTAGCTTAAAGTTCCACAACGTTTCCGGAGCACCGTACCCAAACTCAGTTCATGTTACAAGAAAAAACAGTAATAATGCCTCCTAATTTTGAATGAAATATAGGTATGAGTAATTTGATTTGGAAAGCAACAAATTTCCGCACATCATTTTAGCAAAATTACTATTTTCTTCAGCCATCAGGTTACACAAAACTATAGTTAACTTTATGATCTAGTTTACAAAAAACCAAAGCCCCGATTTTAACAAATGTAGATAAAATTTAAACAATTTTAAAAAAATGTATCGTGGAGAAAATGAAAAGTGTAGATTTGTAAAGCCGGGATATTTCAATTTCACGGATTAGGCACTTAAAGAAATATCTTCACCTTTCTTTGAGCCACCAGCCTTCACCCAAGTTTTACACGAATGTAGTGAAGCAGACAATGTGGCAACTCAAAATTGTGATGGTTTGAGATAATTATGACGGTAAAAGAAAAAGCAACACAAGGTTCCTTACCCTCGTTTTTTCACATGGGTTCAGATGAGGCTTCAACTGTTGCCGACCTGAGGAGCTATAGGGACTTGAGCTTTCCAAAACTCAATTTCTAAGGGCACTGAGCAGTGTTTGGCTTTCACACGAATGCGATAGTAAGTTATATGAAGTTGACAAAGCAAGCAAAGCAAAGCATGATGCCCCGCGCGTCCTCCCGCGACCACGCCGCGCGTCCGACTCCCGACCGCCGCGTGACCCGAGGCGCCCGGCGGTCACGTGACCTACCGGCCGGGACTGCAAACGGCCTTCACCACCATTCTTGTATGACGTCATATCCTACTGAGGTGCTGATTGGTCGGAATTAGATACCTGAAGGTAATAATCTGCCGTAGTTATTTTTGTTTCATTGTTTTGCGTGTTTTCTTTTATGAAATGTAATTAAAAAATTTGTCATATTTTAATCACCATTAAAACATAACTGAATAGGTATAAAAGAGAACTCGATATATACTTTCCTTGTTTTTAAGAATTCCGGAATTAGATACCCGAGGGAGCAAAGAGGGAGCAAGTTGCCACGCTGATTCAATACCTCATAGTCGAAAGGTGGGCTACTAGAACCAAAAATTGCTGTGTTTGTAAATAAATAAGTGATTTGAGGGCAAAAAATGCCCAGATTTAAACTTCTAAAATTATTTTGAACATAAAATATTTCAGTTTGAGGGATGTTAAGGCCTCTAAGGGTAGGTACTTTTTAGGTATCAAATAAGTTCCTCTGCGAAAGTTCCGTCGTGAAAACGGCCATAAGGTATTGTGAGGTCTGCAATTGCTTGTTATATAACAAGGAAAACAAATCTAACAATGACTTTATCAACCTTTTGCGCACGGTATGGCAAATTGGCTATTCTTGTGGATATTTGTGTATCTTCTGAAATTGAAGTTTTTGGCTCAGTGTATGCTATATGAAGCGTTATGCCCATCGAATGGCATTAATCAGCTGGTCCATATCGGCGGTCGGCCAGCCATCACCTTCCAGTGGCAGTGTCCGTCGTACTTCAGACCGGCCATATCGCTGACCGGTCAGACATCATCTCCCACTGCCGCTATACGCCACTCGATCGCATTATACTGCAGAGGGCAATATTTCCACCATCGTGGCCACATCCGTATCCGCCGCCATTACTAAATAACACGACCGCGGGACAGGACGTGCCGTCTCCTCTCCGGGGGGGGGGGGGGGCAGTCCTCCCGGCGGCGGTCGGATATTTGACACAGCTCCAGCCGGCTGGAAGTACGGCGCGTGGCCGACATCCAGCGCCCGGGGACGCCCCTCCCCCGGGGGTGTTTCGTATTGTCACGGTCGCCGCCACCGGGCCTCACTGGCCATTAATATTCGTGGTTCGAACGCCGGCTGTCGGCGGGGCTTAGCGCGGTGACAGGCGGCCGCGGCGGCTCTGCTCGACCCCCGCCGCGCCGGGGGGCGGCGGGGGTGGGCTGAAGGGGAGGGGCTGGGCGCAGCGGCCCTTGTGCCGGTCCCAAATAGTTATACACACTTCAGTCTTCACAGCCTATGCTGCGAAGTTATTCGTACTGATAGACTTTCAGAAAGCTGCCCGTGGGAACCAGGATGTGCACTGTGCACTGTTTAGCACATTGATGAACAGACCACTATGCCATGGCGCAGATCTTCACACTATTGACTCTACCTTCTCCTATACGGCACTGCGCCGCCGCCTGGCACCGATCGCCCGTCACCCCTGGGACCCGTCCACCGAGTCGACCCTGCGATCGACAGACGGCTGCAAGAGCCCACCGGGCGACAGAGAGCTTCCCGGAAACGCTGCATTATGCAGACGTCCTTGCACCGTCCCATGAATCGTAACGGAGACACTGGGGCTCCACTTGTGCTTCAACTTGGGACATTCTCACATGAGGGATTGGATTGGCGCCAGTGCTAACTGCAAACCAGAGCTAAAGCTTCTCTGAGACGCAGTATAAATGTATGGCGCATATCCCGCATAACTATTCGGGATTCTCAAGTGTAATGATCTCACCCTGACACTCCGTCTGGCGCGGTGCGGTGCCCTCACTCTGGCGTGCGGCTCTGGCGCAGTACCCTCACCTTGGCGCCCTCTCTGACGCAGTGGTCTCACCTTGGCGCTCTGTCTAACACGCAATACCCTTACCCTGGCGCAAAAGGACTGGCGCATGAGGTCTCACCTTGGCACCCTATCTGGCGCAGTGTTCTGACTTTGACGTCCTGTCTGGCGCAGTGGTCTCACCTTGGCACCCTGTCTGGCGCAGTGGTCTCACCTTGGCTCCTTGTCTCGTGCAAGAGTCTCACCTTGACGCCCCGTTTGACACAGTGTTCTCACATTGGCCCCCTGTCTGATGCAGCGGTCTCACCTTACCTCGTACAGAAGCGCCCTGCCTCGCACAGTTGCCTCACCTTAGCACCCTATCTGGCGCAGTGTTCTCACCTTTTTTTTTTGATCCATGAAAAAAAAAGTGTTCTCACCTTGACGCCCCGTCGGTTTGACGCAGTGTTCTCACTCTGGCGCCCTAGCTGACGCAGCAGTCTCACCTTGGCGCCCTGTCTGGCACAGTGTTCTCACCTTGGCGCCCTGTCTCGTGCAGTAGCGGGTGAGCGCCGAGCAGAGGCCGGCCGGGTCAATGGTGCCGTCACCCGGGGAGTACAGACAGCCGTACATGTCGGAGGTGTTGAGCAGGGGGTGAACCTGTGGGGTAAGGGTTTACGATCAACGAGAGGAACACCTGTGGGGGTGCGCCTCGGGTTGGCATTATGCGCTTCTCAATGAAACGTTTGCTGTTTCAATGAACAAAATGCAAAAGAAGATGGGCATAATTTGCCTCTTATCCTGTCAAACTGAACGCGACTATATCAAATGAAGAGGCACAGTATCACAACACGTTTACAGTATTCAAAAACATTGCACGTGAAAAAAAACAGGTTAAGAAGGGTTCAAAGCATTTAAACGCTCATAATTAATGTTTAACCCGCGCCCTGGTGGGGGGGCTATTTTTTGCCCCCCTCCAGACTTTTCGATATATCTCCAGAACCGCTGCGCCGATCGTCACCAAACTTTCAGTACCCTCCCGGACATCAATTTTACACATTGTGACCAAAAATTTTTCCAAAGGCTATGATAGGTTGGCCGGAAATGACGTCAGAGTGACGTCATGTTCTGCCGTTTTCGACCCAAAAAAGGGTTTCGCGGGAAGAGCTGTCAGGCCTATAGCTTTGCAAATACAGAAAAATGATAAGGACATAAAAGCTGTAGATTGGACAGGGCTACAAAACTGCTATCTCGGATTTTTGAAATTTTTGGATTTTGACCCCCAAAAATAAAAAAATAGATTTTTTGGATATACTAATCGAAAAATCCAAAAAGTTTTTTGAATTTCGCAAAAACCGGAATATATGTGATAGTCCTTACCGCCTTCCATCCACATACCAAATTTGAGATTGATACCTCCTTTTTTGGCGAAGTTATAGCGAAAAAACTGTTCAAAATTGATGACGTCAAATTTTCAAACTCAATTTTTAGCCATTCTAGACCCCGTAGCGCAAAACAAAGACCACCATTAGACTCCCCGTGACGAGCTGCATCGAATCAATACCCAATTTATGCAAAAATATCAACTTTAAAATTTGACCTTTTTTGGCCTGACCTTGACCTGACCTTGACCTGAACTTCACCAGAAAGTGACCTAAGCCGTACCTGATAGTCTCATAACCAACACCATTGAGTTGGAAATGAAAAATTGGCCATAAAACATGTATCACACAACCTTAGTAAAGTTGGGCTCATGTGACCTGACCTGTGACCCTTGGTGACCTGACCTGTGACCTGACCTGGTATTGCTAGTGACCTCTAATAGCAACATATCTACTAGGCAACTGACGCCCTACCGCTGATTCTCGACAAAATGCGTTTTCCTCGGTGTTATAGCGCATTCCCTAGAAGACCCGTGAACGGTGAAACATTTCATCTTTGACCTGACCTGTGACGTCATCGGTGACCCCGAGGTCAATGAAATTTGGTTCCCTTCGACAAATTTGACAGGCCTTTCGAACGCCGTTTGAATTTTGCGGATCCGTCCAGTAGTTTCGGAGATACGAGGGGGTGGCAAAAAATAGCCCCCCCCCCCCACCAGGTCGCGTTATAAACAGACCCCACCAGGGCGCGGGTTAAGGTCATTACATCAAATTGAAATGAACATCCAGTAATCAGCCCACAGCCTGCGGTGGTGGCCGGCGCGGTCATCACTGATTATACGTCAGCATTAATTACCGAGCCTGTCTCCGGCGGTATGATGCTATCCAGCCTGCAGACGCAGCTCAAAGGTCGGCCGAGCTCCCGCCGAGCCGATCCGGTGGGGTCAACGAGTGGGAGGGGAGGGGGAGGGGACAGCACAGCTAATAGCCGGCTTAGATGCCGCTCTGGGAGCCCACCTGCTAATTGGTTCCCGAAATACGAACTGCCTCAGAACGCCGGCTCGTGTCACAGGAGATGAAAGCGACGGAAGCCGACCGGCCGCGTCAACTGAACGGGTCACAGGGGCGAGACGTGCACCTCCCGGGGTCACTGAACGAGGACGGGTCACAGGGCAGCGATCGAGCGACCGCTGAGACAGCCGCCTGCCCACCCGTGTGCCCGCGCCCTGCTCCTGTGCAGTTTAGCTCGGTGTCGAGTTAATGATGCCATGTCGACGTGGCTCCTACTTGTTGAACTGCAGCGCTAACGGTGCAGCAGGATAGAGCAGCTCCTGTCCTCTGCTCGGTGGCCCTCTCTCGGGACAGAGTGACGGAGATTGGGGGACTGACGACAGGCCTTGATTAGGACTGTGGACTCTGCTGATAATAACATTGTTTACTTCTGTTGATAATATGTTTACTAATGTTTACGTGCAGCATGTCTTTAGTTCTGTTATAGCAGAGGCAAGTTAGCTTCAGCCGATGCTATTTCAAGGTGTCGATAACGAGGTATTATGCCGCGTACTCATGCTATTCAGTTGTCACTGTATCTCGCATGCATCAAGGCAATGGCCAAAAACAAGTAAAAATGCCAATGCGATATGCGCACGGCTTGCAACCATTTTCCACCGTCTCCACCATCATATTTATTTGTAATATTTCTTTTTTCTGTAACCAAACCGGCACTTCAAAAGTTGGCAATGAGCCGCGCCAGATGCACATACATATGTACCACGTCATGTGTATATGCCAGTGTCACTGGGTCTGTTGTATCGGAAGTGCAGACGTCCTGTCCACTCCTCCAGCCCGCAGTACAAACTGGATATAGCTGGTTACTACTAGTTCTATCCGCGCCTGTATAAACAGTCCGCACGATGAACGGTGGAGTGAACCCGTCAAATGGTAAAACGGCCTGCACAGCTCTCCGAACAACAGTGTGTTTATTTAACTTGTCAGAAAAAATTAAACCCAGCGAGCATGCGTGCTGTGTACTGTGTGCTGGCTGTGTACTGTTCGGATCAGTTGAATTGGGGTCAATAGGAACATAACTGTTAGCGCAGCAGCATGTAGTGTATCAATACACATGTCATGCGCACATGTTGATCTCGTGTGTCTCACTCTAGCTCGTGCCTGTCGGCGCTCAGACCCCTGCCCTCCAGCAGACCTCCTAACGGTACTCCGGCCTCTATCGGCCCCGGCGGCCGTCAAACGGCCCGAACCGCGCCGCGCTCCCATCTCATAGCCAGTTTCGGGCCCATTTCAGTAAACAGCGGCGGCAAGAAGACGGCGTAACACCCAGCAGACAACTGAATCGGACGGCGGCGCGGCGCTTACGCGGCGTAAGCGGCACATTCAGAGCGGAGCGCGCAAAGACGGAACAGTCTAGAGCGAGCAGCAAACGCTGAACCGTGGTCCTAGACAAAGTTTTGCATGCAGTTGCTTATTTTATAGTGAGCTCCAAAATACGGAAGTCGGAGCGGCAGTCACACTGTCGAAGATTGAGGCTTCGAAGAAATAAGACGGAAGAAGTATTTTCCACGGAATTCGAAGAAACTCGCATTTGGGCCGATCAAGGATCAGCAATACGAGTTTCATAGTGCGTTTGCGACACTTCAATGGCCGGCAGCGGCTGTCACACGCTGATAACCGCTGAACGGTACGCACAACACACAGCCGAGCCGAGTGAAGCGTTTGAGATCCCTGCACGGCGCGGGCTATGGCAGAGCTGCGCAAATGGTTCAGGACTCCTAGAATGTTTGTGAAACGCAAAATGTGCCAGTTTAGGAAGGACATTTCTGACAGCAATTGTCGGAAATGGTCCACCACACAGCTACATTTCATGTGACAGACATGTCATCCGTGAAATTCGTGTCGCTGTCAGCCTCCATCAGCTGCTGCCAGCAAACAAGAAAACAGGTCCTTATTTTTGTTTCATAACATGCAATCGGGATGCCGAGCAGACAGCATCGCGACAGCTCTGAAATAAGATCGACACGTTTCTGATGTTTATCGCGTTAAGTGCCCTTTCCAGTCTCACATTTAACAAGTCGGAAAGCCTGGTGGTTTCAGGTTTGTTTGAACAGAGACACACGTCAAATGGCTCGGTTGTGTTTATATTCTGACTTTCAGAGGCGCGCCGAAATTCACAGCGACCGCTATTCCGGTAATGCTAAGGAATCAATTAAATATTCCGCAGAACAAACTTTCGCGACAGTGGAGCGCCATCAACTAGTGCGCGCTCACTAACCACACAAGTGCGGCAATCGGCGCCATTCTACTTGGCCGTTGCCAACTCCTGCACAGCAACACCACCGAATATGGCCGTACAGGCGGTCAGGCGAAAGTGTCTGTTCATTAGACCCCTCCATTACACTCAACTTCCCACTGCGCGCCTAATCGACCAGCTTAGCCTGCCTTTGACCGACCTTTATATCTCTCTAAATGTATCTGTGTCTCCATTCAGCCTCGCCTCCTCGAGTGATCCCGCTCCCCCTCGCCTCCGTGACCCCTAACTGACCTTGTGGACGTCTGAGGGTGCGAGCATCTGGTTCTCGATGCCCAGCGCGCTGCCGATGGTGCTCAGCCGGCGGTACTCGTCGAACCGCTGCCGGTTGTTGGCGATGAACAGACCGCCGTTGTTGATCCAGCCGATCTCCATGCCCGTCTCCTCCTCGAGTCGCGGCATCTGCGCCACCATGTGGCCCAGCAGGGCGATCGAGGTGTCGCTCGGCCGCAGCCGCCACACCAGGCCTGAAGGGTGAAACGGGAGAGATAGGGTCACAGCTGCCACACCAAACCTGACCAGAAACAGGAGAGTGAAGTCATAGCCGCCACACCAAACCTGACCAGAAACGGGAGGGTAAGGTCACAGCCGCCACACCAGACCTGTTGGGTCAGGGAATGTCACAGCCTCATGATTCTAAGGGGTCGATTAGTCCACTTGACATTACTCTTTGCCAACAAGCCGAATGGAGCAGCAATCCCCAGACTGCAGTGAGAGATCGCTGAGTGGCGGATACGTGACTGAACAGGATACGCTAAATGCTATTACGTAATGGAACGCTGTGACCTAGAGCTCTTAGTGACCTCAACAGATAATTGGACTCAGAACCAGTTTAGTGCCTGGCGAACACGCGACAGCAGTTAACGCTGGTCTTTGGTGACCAATAAAAAAGCGTTTCAATCTACAAGAACATATAAGAAAGGTAGTTCACGGTCAGAGCGAACAACTAGGATCCTACAGCAGTGCCCTGTTCAGCTACCATTCCTCCCGTCGAGCGCCCTTCCCCGTCACCGCTCCCGCCAACAGCGTCCCGTTCAGTCGTCGCCTTAGTGCGGCTGTGAATCGATCAAACTGTCCCGCCAGCTGACAGCTACGCTGCTCCGAGTAACCACTGACCGGGGAAGTGCCGTTGACCACAACTCCATGACCATGGACACAGACTCTGAGCTTGTTCAGCATGTCTAGCTTCCGTGATCGTATGATCTCTCCGAGTCTCTGGACGGCACCGAGCTAGTTAATTGATAATCACTCAGGCTGATTTGAAGCATTTTGCAGAACTTGTCAAACGGTGCCGCTCCCATCATAATCGATCTGTCAAGCTGCTAAATCCTCATCAGCGGTATGCATTCGTCCCGGCATTGTAACAATTGATACCGCAGGACCTCACCTGCCGTGTGCCACGTGGTTCCGGCGGTCAGCGAGTGTTTCTCCAGCAGCACAGTGCTGGTGACTCCCATCTTGGCCAGGTGGTACTGGGTCTGGCAGCCCAGACTGCCTCCACCTGCCGGCGACAGAGAAACGAAAATCACAATCAACCGTCAGGATTGGTCATCAGAGCAACTGTCAGCAAGCCCGAAAGGGACAGCATATTGTCCCGTTTCATGTAGGAGTTTTCTGCACTCCAGACGACAAACAGTGTCGCCGCTCCTCTAGGCTACAGCGAGCACAGTCTGTCGTCATTCGCTCGACACGTGCCGCGCGCGCCATCATTAAACTTGTTGACGCCGAGCCCCGTCACGCTACCGTCTGCCGCAGCACCCCGGTACGCCCGTCTTCATTTCCTCCGACACGTCTCCTGTCCCGTTATTCCTTACTGCTTTGTTTTTGTTGGTTAGTTTCACTCAGATGTTACAACACTGAGTTCTTCAAACTAATGCGATTGAATAAATATGCGAGCATAAGTATGACAAATATTACTCCAAAAAATTCAAATAAACATTTAAAACATGAAAACCGTACGTGAAATTTTCATTTGTAAAGGATTTTTTACGACTCTTCCAAGTTTAAACATGCATTGAGCATTTGTTACGTAACTGCCATATATCTTCCAACGGCATATTAGAAGGCCAAACGTGAAGAAACTTCACCTCAGAACGCAATTTGTGTCGTTTGAAGTAGTTTTGGCGCTGTGACAACAGTGCCAACTCAACTAGAAGACGATGAGCGTAAGAACAAGTAACCAGAACCGAGGTGGTCTGTGGCCTGTGGGTGTGGGCTGAGAGGGAGCCGGACGAGTCTCCCGGACTGTCGTGCGGTGGTAGGAGGGGAGGTGCTGGGTTCTCCCAGTCCTCAGTGCGTAGGTGAGAGGAGGGCTGGGCTGTCGAGTTCCGGATGACACGGCTCACGACAGAAGGGGACTCCGCCGGCGGCTGCTTCGTTAGCGACGCGACTCGTTAGCGCAGCTCTCCGCCTTAGACGAGGGTGGGTCGAGGGAGGGGGTGAACGAGCCGGGTGAGCCCGCCCAGCTCCGACGTTCCGCACATAACAACAACGACGGAATCCCCCACACCGCCCGGTTTCTGGAAATGTTTGCAGCCTGGTAGGCGAGTAAATCATTTGGTTGTCGGAAGACACGTCCCCGTGTTGAGCAAATGTTGTCCACCTGGACATAACACACACACGTTGCTGGGTCCTGAGCGTGTCTGAAGAGGTGGCTGGGTGCGAACAGCTGTATACGGCACAGGAGACAGCCGGAGCTGGCACGAAGGCTCACGCGATGTCATCGTGTCAGGTCCGGTATGTGACATGGCCCTTCGTTCACAAATACGTGGTTCTTGCATCACGAGCATGCATGGTTACGTAAGAACCACTTTTGAAGTTTTGTTTCAAATAGTTTCATGTCTGCGAATATTCAACAGTACAATCAAAAAGAGGCTTTTTACTGCATATAAATGTTTTGGCTGGCTACTAAAGCCCCATATGTCACTAGAGACTAATGTTCGTTCCCCACTCTGCAGCCGAGACAGCATGAAGTCTTTGTCAGAAGTTTCAGCATTTACGGCACCATTCGAATTTCTGTTATAAATGGTCGTATTTTCGTGAAAACAACAACCATAAGCCTTGTGTGTTGGGTTGAAAACACGCGTTTACCTCTCGATCTCGCCCAGCAGCCGGCCGAATGTTTGCTCCGTTCCAATATTTGGCAATAAACGAGGGCATAAAATGGCGTAGCGTCGGCTGCTATTTTGATTACCGGCACGCAGGCGCCGGCTAGCGTCCGGTTAAGGCCACTAAAACACAGCCTGTTCGACCGAATAGTCCCACCGGCTCTGTAGAGCACCGGTGCAGCACAGCTCAGCATCGCCCCAGCACCAGCCCAGCACCGGCTCAGCACCGCCCCAGCACCAGCTCAGCACCAGACCAGCACCTGCCCAGCACCAGTCCAGCAGCACCATTCCAGCAGCGGCCAGCACAAGCCTCGGAGCCACAGCAGTCGTAGAATCACAAACAAAACACCGTCGGCGGTGATAAGTGAAGAAGAAAAAAAACGCTAATGCTCAGTCTTTGCAGATTAATGAATGCAGGTGTTTGCTCCTGGTTTGAAGGCAAGTGCATTGGTATGCAGTTTGAGCCACTAGACAAACAATTGCTTTGCCTGGTAAGAATCGGGGCTTGTGCGAGTTGGGAAGATGTAAAGTGCCAGGCAAAATTGAGGAATGTCGCATCATTGGTATGTTCCCCTTAGCCTGCACCACCACTCATTTAGAAATAAAACACTAGCAAAAAGCATACCAGGCCTGGTATGCTTTTTGCTAAAGAGAGAGAGAGAGAGCTAGAGAGATCCATCCCTGGCTAGGGAGCGTTCGTGCAGCTATATGGCCCATCGCGCTTTCTTACACTACGCAAGCTGCTCTGCAGGGGTGCACTAACATTTACTATTTCTGAGAATCCCTAGCGGTGTGATCGGTTATTTACCGATGTTCGAGGAAGACGTGGGCCAGTTCCGAGTCTGATAGGGATGGGTCTCTGGTGTCCCGAGTCTGCGACAATGGAAACTGGCCGCATGGCGACAGGACACGCTGTTACCGAGCGTCTACCACACCGAGGCTGGGTAACATGGGAGTAACATGGGAGACTGTCCGCGATCAGCTAAAGAGTTTTGAACAAATGCATTTTATGCCACAGACTACTCGGTTTTGCCTTTTTTCAATGATTATAATGAAATCATACACTACTCACTAGCAAATTTATCACGCAAGTTAAAAAAAAAAAAAACTTATCTTTCGGCGAAGCGTAGATAGCAACGAACTGTCGTGAATCGACAAGTAGGCATACTCAAGAAGAAGTGACATGGCCCCAAAACTTTCCCGTTCTCCACAGCGTTTGCCTCTGTCCGTCCGCAGCGTTGCGCTTAACCCGCGCGGGGCTGGGGTCTCCAGCCGAACGCGCGGGGCTGGGGGGGGGGGGGTAAATTTTACCCCCCCCCCCCTGTTATCTCCCGAACTAATGGTCCGATTTGGAAAATTCAAACGCCAATCGAAAGCTCTCATCACGAACTACTAAAAAACATGTACTTAACTTAAAGTTTGAGGTCAAGGTCAAGGTCAGGTCAAGGGTACAAATTGCAAGTTTCTACAGTATCGGCCTTGCACCGTAGTTGCCGAAGAATGGAGTCATGGACTGAGACTGATCGCCCAAAACGTGTTCTTAGGCTACCAAGACAATATTCGTTGCATACAATATCATTCAGAGGTCAAGGTCAAGGTCAGGTCAGGTCAGGTCAGGTCACCAAAAAACAAAATATAGAAAAGGGCATGTGCGACACATGTTTTATGGGTCATTTTACTCATAGAATTCAATAGGCACACTCAATAAGTGATTTGGACCACCTCTGGATGAATTTCAGGTCGAGGTCAGGTCCAGGTCAGGTCAAGTGAGGTCAAATTTTGAAGTTGGTTGTTAAGGCCTAAAAAGGTGTCTATCTGATGCAGTTTTTCACGGCGAATCGAAGGGTGCTATTTTTGTTTCCGTGCGAGGTCTAGAACTTCCAAAAAAGTCATTTTTCAAAAATTTTGTGTGTCGTGACGTCATAAAATTTTGAATAACTCCCACATTTTTGAACCGATTCTTCTAAAATTTGGTATGTAGGTGCACATAGACCACTTCTCTGACATATATTCCGGTTTTTCCGATAGACTCAAAATTTTGGATTTTATAATGATTTTCCCAAAAAAGTCAGTTTTTTGAAAAAATTTAGGCCAAAATCCAAAATTTTCAAAAAACCGAGATAGCCATTTGATAGACAAAGTAAAATTACGTATAACCTTTTTTGTTACGTCTTGATTCCTTTAAAAATGAAGATGTTAGCGGCGTTTGAACTTTTGCCGTTTTTGAGGCGAAAATGGCGAACATGACGTCACTAAAACGTCAATTTCTCAAAAATTTTCCGACGGATTTCGCTCAAATTTTCAGGGAACGTGTCAAATTGATGTAAGAAAAGGTACTGAAAGTTTGGCGGCGCTGCGCGCCGCCGTTTTTGAGATATCGCAAAAATTCGCGAGGGGGGGTAAAATTTACCCCCCCAGCCCCGCGCGGGTTAACCCGCGCCCCGTATAGGGCTACCGGCGGACCCTACCACTCGTAGGGGGGGGGGGTGCGTTTCGGCCCCCCCCCTAAGATCTCGGAAAGTTAACGGCCGATTTTCAAAATTCAAACGGTGTTCAAGACAGCCCCACCGATGAACTACCTTCTGACCAAATTTCATTGACCTAGGTCAAACCGATGACGTCACAGGTCAGGTCAAAGGTCGGATTTTCACCGTTCACAGGCATTTCAAGAAATGTGTTGTGAAATCGAGTAAATTGGTAAGTTATTGAAAACCATCGATGGCACATTGTTCGTCAAACACATACTTCGCTATATGAGGTCACTGATACCAGGTCAGGTCACAGAGGTCAGGTCACTGGGGGTCACAATATGAAAGTGTCGTGTGATACATGTTTTATGGTCCATTTTACATGACAAATGCGATTATGTGGGTCAGGCAGCCTTTGGGGCCAGCTTAGGTCACGTTTTGGTGAAGGTCAGGTCAAGGTCACGTCAAATTTCAAAGTTGATATTTTTGCATAATTTTTTTTTAATTATAAATTTAGTCCGAACCTTTTGATGGGAAGGATTCACAAGGACAGAGCCACCGCTAAGCGAAGCTTGTTGCGGTGACCCTGCCCTCTACCCTCCGATCGCGCAATTCCAGTTCTATGGCAGAATTTAGAGTCCAAAGTTTAACGTGCGCACATAGCCGCGCACGGCCGGTCCCCTCACTGATTTCGCCTGGCTACGGCCTGCCACCAACCGCAACCATACCTGTCAGGAGGCCCATAAATGTCAAGCGCCCGTCGCGCTTCGAACCCGGACTGTTGTAACCGGGAACGCGTGCTCTCACCACGCGGAGTCCAACGCTCTAACCAACTGAGCTACGGGACCGGCTATTGGGTATTGATTCGATGCAACTCCTCACGGGGAGTCCAATAGTGGTCTTTATTTTGCCCTACGTGGTCTAAAATTGCCAAAAATTGAGTCTGAAAATTTGACGTCATCATTTTGAACAGTTTTTTCGCTATAACTTGGCCAAAAAACGAGATATTGATCTGAAACAATTTGGTATGTAGATAGAAGACGGTAGGTACTATCACATATATTCCGTTTTTTTCGAAACTCAAAAACTTTTTGGATTTTTTTGGCTAATATATCCCAAAAATTGCTTTCTTTATTTTTAAGGGGTTTAAACTCAAAAATTTCAAAAATCCGAGATAGCAGTTTTGTTGCCCTGTCAATTTCACACCTTTTATGTCTTGATCATTTTTCTGATCATCTTCTGATCATTTTCAAAGCTGTAGGCCTGACAGCTCTTCTCGCGAAGGTCTTTTTTCGGTCGAAAATGGCAGAACATGACGTCATTCTGACGTCATTTGTGGCCAACCTATCATAGCCTCTGGAAGATTTTCGGTCACAATGTGTAAACTTGATGCCCGGAGGGGTCCTGAAAGTTTGGTGGCGATATCTCCAGCCATTTAGGAGATATCGACGGAAAAGTACAGGGGGGCCGTTTCGGCCCCCCTACGGGGCGCGGGTTAACTGAGCACCATCTGAACAGGGCTCCAGCCTCTGATAGAGCCTTCTGAACACGGCGCTTCTGATGGCCGCCACCAGCGGTCCTCCGATGGCACCGTGTTGACTAACGCGCTGTCTCCGACCAGCCGGAGCCCTAGGTGATTGCCGCTACGACGCATCTAATGTGAAGTGATCGCAACACGGATTACTGAGGATGGAGAGAGTGGGGCTAAACGAGGCAACGAGCTCGAAGATGTGGAGACTCAGAGAGGTACAGTTGCGGATGAAACGGAGACTCTGCAAAGGGAATTAAATGGAGGAACAAGCAAGCTAGGGAAGGGCTGGCAAACAATAGAGAGCGATGTCCCGTCGTGTGATTTTTGTAAGTTCTGCGCTTGGTATAGGTCGCACAACATCTAAAAGGAAAAATTATCAGGAAGGTGGCTGTTCTTTGACATGCTGTACTAGTACGGTCGTTACAGTGCACGGACAGTCACGCCATACAGACGTCACGCGAGGTACAGATGACGTCATCCCATCACCGACTCACCAATGATGACGACATCAGCCTGCTGGGGCACGGAGACGGGTCGGTGGATCTCCTTGTTGGCGAAGCTGGTGTCGTAAGGTACCCCGGAGAGGCCGTCAGGGCTGGCCGGTGGGGAGTGGTAGGCGCGCCACGAGGCGGGCAGCACCTGTCGACAGGTCACAGGTCAGGTCACGGGGCAGGTCACGGGTCATATCACGGGTCAGATGACGGATTAAGCACAGAAAATCGGCTCTTAACCCGCGCCCTGCTGGGGGGGTGTTTGAACAACCCCCCTTGTGTTTTTTTGCGAATATCTCAAAAACGGCGGCGCGGAGCGCCGCCGTTTTTAGTACACTTTATCATACATCAATTCTACACACGTTGTGAAAATTTCAGACCAAGGTCATTCAAGGTCAGGTCACCAGGTCACTTGAAGTGACCTCACCTCATAAAAAGTTTCAATGTCTATCATAGCTACACCGAGTGACCGATCGCTTTGAAACTTTCAGCGATTGCTAAGAGCAATAGCATGTACAAAATGTATATCTCAGAATTTTGATATCGATGACCTAAGGTCAGGTCAATTTTGCGACCTCCCATTATAGGGGAAGCCGGGGGAAGCCCGGCATAGTAAGCTCTTTTTCATTTTTATTACATACCATACGTGCTGCATAAAATGTTGATTTCCTATTAGCTAGCTAAGTTCATTGGCCGTGTTTTCCCAAAAATTCGGTTTCGTGGAATAAGTATAAGGTTGAGAAAATCGAGTTTTAAAAAAGTGTTGATTTTTCTGGGGTAAGCCCGGCATAGGGGTAACGCCGGCCACCTCCCCAGCGCTTTACAACGAGTTGATGAAACCATTATGTGTCTTCCAAATATTAACGGAAAGTGAAATGTTAAGGTACTGATTAGCTCTGGACATCTTAGAGTTTATGTCACTACTGGTATTTTAGCTAGCGTCTACCACATCCTACAGTACAGGTCGATGAAAATCGTGATGCAAAATTGACAAAAAATGTGTTTTTCAAAATTCCTTAAAATTTATTTTTCTTTTTACCTTAATGCATCATATTGCATATCATTCGACTCGGCTGATGAAGAAGAACACAACGACACCATTTTTGAAGCTCTAGCTTCATTGTCTGTCGCGTTATCTGCAAAAACGTAGTTTGACCCTAGTTGACCTTAAGTGACATGACTGGCTTTGTCTATGATAACTTGTTTATTTTCGAAATTTATCTTTGATCTAGGTGTAAACCAAACCTGCTCAGTACCTATTATCTCATGGAAAACAGTGGTTTAGTGGCATTGCTCTCGGTTGGGGGTAAGCTTGGCCACTCGCCCGGGGTTACCCCAATGTGCTAATTTTTATTTTAGAACAGCGATATTCGAAAAAATGTCATACTTAAGCCAGCCTGCCTCGTCACCCCTCACTACAAACACTTAAACGGTCCTTACATAACATTCGTATAAATATTAGTACTGTATGGTATAACATTAACAGTGCAACATATCTCACTTTTTAGCTAAAAACCCTTAAAATATCATTTTTGCGCTATAACTTTAACAATATGCAATTTTGGTTAGCCTTAACTTGTTTGCTGGCGTTACCTTAGCTGCCACGCTGAAAGGACAAACAGTTGAGCATTTTATTGTGAATAATTTAGCCGGAAACGGGGTGGCCGGGCTTCCCCCGCGCCCGGGCTTCCCCCGGCTTCCCCTAAGTCAATGGGAGAAAATTGAAATGCGCCTCTTTTGGACGAAAGACATTATAAACACTCCCAAACACTGAATTACAAGTGGTTTAGACACAATGAACATGAAAATGGTGTCCGTGACCCCTGTTTATGCCCTGAGGTCATCTTAGGTCACGAATGGTACCTAACAGTTTTTCGCAAATAACTTTTGATAGAGGCATGCTTGAGCGATGAAAACGCCTTAGATGTGTTCAGCTCGACGATACGGATCGACTGATATGCAACATGACCCTTTCCGGTCAGGTCATGACCTTGACCTGAGGTCAAATTTTCAAGTTGACCTTTCAAGGTCAAGTTATAGTTCATTCGATGCGTCTTGACGAGAGGAACACGACGCCGGTAAAAGTAAGCTCGTACAAGGCTTGGGTCAAAAGTTATTGCAGAAAAACTGTTTCCGAAAAAAACGGCTATTTTTGCAGTTTTTGCCCCCTGCAGGCAAAACCGTTGACGTTAGGTCAAATCTGAGAAAATTACTCAGAAAGGGCGCTAATAGGGCTATCGAATGCGCTTTTCCGCGGCGCTGTAGCTCTATTGGTTCCCGAGTTATGCGTTGGCTTCTTGGAAATTGTCGACATTCGACCTGGAAATCGGCGAAATTTTGCCTTCAATGACCTCTGGTGACCTGACCTTTGACCTGACCAAAAAATTGACTGAAGTGATTTCCTCATTATTTTTGACGCTCTTTCGAACGCCGCCTTCCGCGTATCGCTACGTGGCCCAGGAGCCGAGTTAGAAGGGGGGGGTGTTCAAACACCCCCCCCCCCAGCAGGGCGTGGAAATCCAGGACCCCCAGCCGGGCGCGGGTTAAAGTACGGGTCTCACGGGTCAGACCAGGTCCTAAGTCAGCGGGTCAGTTAAAGAAATGAAATGACGGGCATAACTATCGCGGTTTCACTGGCCTGCGCATGACTCATGACCACTCTTACTGCATAAGCCCGTCGCTCGATGCCGCTGCCTTATGTGGGCCTAATAGACGACAGTTTAGTTTATTTATCGCAATATTATAAAGACAAAACGCTTACATACATATTACTATACATACTATGCGAAAACATTAAACATTCGGAATGATTGGGCTATTCCGGTTGGAACGATGAAATTTCAAGGGGAGATCAAAATGATCGTTAAGTCATCTCAACGACGATACTCCAAATGATCCCGCCAAATGATAAACAAAAACCGCCCTGAAGCTGTTGTAGTCTCTGCGGCGTTCCGCCTCACTGCTAGGTAGACTGTACCGCAGCACATCCGTGCAGTGCGGAACAGCAGAGTTCCGCACGCTAGCGCCAACCACAGAAACTGCAACGCCGTGAATGCCATAACACCACACAGAACCGGTAATTTGAGTTCTACTGCACTTCACTCACTATGAAAAAGATCTCGTTTATCAGTAACCATATTTTCCTACGACTGGGCAAAAATCACCATCGATGCGCTAGGGAAAGGTAGGGGAGGGGGCGCTACTAGAAATATGTGATAAGATTAAGAATGACATTCAATGATCGGATGTTTTCGGATAAACTTAAATAAATTGTGCGCATTAACATGCACAGTGTAATTGTCAGACCAGCGTATATAAATGAATCATTTTGACTATCCTATGGTGTATCGAATAATTACTACGTCAAACACGTCAAATAAGTTTTCTTTTTTTTTAGATCGGCTCATGATGGGGAGCAGATATGGGCATGGATCAGAGAAAATGTGTTTAGGATCAGACATCAATAATGATGATATCGGATCCGATAGGATCATAGATACTACAGCTCTCTCTCTCTCTCTCTCTCTCTCTCTCTCTCTCTCTCTCTCTCTCTCTCTCTCTCTCTCTCTCTCTCTCTCTCTCTCTCTCTCTCTCTCTCTCTCTCTCTCTGTTGTTGCCAGATCCATCAGAATCATAGATCCGAACCAATTTTTTGCCTACAGGTCCGGTGAGATCACATATTTTAGGTACATGTCTGCTGGGCTGATCACGGTATTGGTCAGGCGGCAGGCCACAGTGATATGTGATACGAGACAATCACTTTAAAGTTATACTGTTTGGCCAAATCAATCTGAGTTTGACATAGCTTGGGAATATGTGGTCGTCAAAACAACTATCATTGACATCATATACATTCACACAAAATACATGAGATATGACTTCCAAAAATGATAAATTAGTGACAGATCCATAGCTGCAGTCAACAAAATATTAGATATCTATTGATTAGATGGAACAGTTTATCCCACCTGTTTGTTCCTCGCCGCTTTCTTCCACAGATGTTGCAGCCGCGCAGGCTTCATTCTTGTGTGACGCTCCGAACTTGGTGTGAGCCGCCGGCGGGATGCCCGCTCAACTGACCCGATACTTCACGGAGGTCGGCTTATCAGTGTCCCTCTACTGCCCGGTGACTCGGTACTGGCCGGTCCACAATTCAGCTAGTTTCCCTCCCAGCCGACAGGGCAGTCAGCGGGTGCCGTCAACGAACTCGACCTCACGCCGGGCCGACGGGGGGTGTGTCGTCGTTGGCAGCGCCGCCGCCGACGAAGGAATGCGACACAAACGCTATAATTGAAACCTACCGCATACGAATGACGTAGTTTATTTAACAGAATGGAATCGTGTTTCGTGCCTGGGTAGTTCACTTGCATACGTAAGAGCAAAGAAACATTTAGATAGACTTAGAACTTGAATTATAAACGCCTCAATACGTCTTATAAAACCGAACTGTACTTACAGTTATGATACAGGCCCGAGCTGCAACGCGGTCCAATGTGGACTAAACTGGACAAATCCAGTTTGAGCTGACCGATTCCGGCTAGCAGCTAGCCCAGTCCGGTCTGTTGATAAATAACCGGTGGGGCGGTGTTTGAGATCATGTAGACCTGTTGCGTTGTCGTGTCGGTGTTACTAATACTCTGTTGAAATGAATAATGTAGGTAATCAATGCCCAGTGAATGTATCGTTGTTTATGAATGCTGTGAAAGGCTAATAACTGATCATGAAAACAGAAATAAGCTATAGGTCGCGACCCGAGCTGTACTTGATTTATCTCTACATCAGATGTATATACGGCCCTCAACTAGTGAAATATTTATAATACTAGTGAATGAAACAAGTGAAATATTTGTATCTATGCTGCCGCTCCCTCCCCCCAAGCAAATTGTCTCTATGTATATTGTATATACCCCGCCAGCCGGTCTCGGACGGCATCGCAGGGGCCCCTCTCGAGCTCCGAACAAACCGCAGATGGCTGGGTACACTGACCTCGCTATGACAGTGCACATACTGACTGAATAGAGGTGTGACAGTGGTGTTCGCTTGTGAATATTGTAATTTTGACTTAGTTTGACTTTGGCTCACTTTGACACGTAGGTACTACGTTGCAATATAAATGTTTTCACCGCAAATTTTAAATTGAATTTGTAACAACCAACAAGGATGTCGTGCAGGAACTTGGAGCCGCCAGAACTAGCGAAGATACAATATTGGACAGAGTCTGCAATGATGAATGTGAAATAATGAATTTGGTGAAGTTTCGAGGCGTTCCTTTCCACAGGTCTAAGTTGGACATTTTATTAAATGACGTTCCACGTCCTAGCACAGGAAGCCCTGTTGAAGTCAGTGAGGTAGCTCTATCCGGAACTATTCAGGAAAAACGCCTGGTTTGTTTGTTTGTTTGTTTGTTTGTTTGTTTTGTTTTGTTTTGTTTTGTTTTGTTTTGTTTTGTTTTGTTTTGTTTTGTTTTGTTTTGTTTTGTTTTGTTTTGTTTTGTTTTGTTTTGTTTTGTTTTGTTTTGTTTTGTTTTGTTTTGTTTTGTTTTGTTTTGTTTTGTTTTGTTTTGTTTTGTTTTGTTTTGTTTTGTTTTGTTTTGTTTTGTTTTGTTGGGTCAGGCCCTTACGGTTTGACAAGACGATTTCGGAGCCGGAAAAATGATAGGAATAATTGGGGGAGACATTGGTCTGGGCAGACACCCATAGAGAGTCGCCGGGGCTGAGCCCGTCCGAATGGACAGGCCGACCAGCCCCCCAAGCACTCTGCACCCGGCTACGGGGTGCGCTCCCTCGGGAGCATGGCGGTGCCGCTCCAAGGAAGCAGCCTGCATGAGATAAAGGTGCCTTCCAGCCCGGAGGAGGGTTGCGGCGTGGAGGAGGATTTCAGTAATCAGTATCCTGAGGATAAAAAACGACGGAACGGAGGCGCGCTCGCCAGCACGTTGTGGGTCCTGAAGTCTCTGTCGGTTCCCGCGCCTTCCACCAGCAGCACCAGTCACTAACACCTGTAGCTGCATGGCCTGGCGACAGGCACTCAGACGTGGTCTGGAGACCGGCGCGGGCTTCAGCAGCTGTTTCAGCAGCGCTTCGTCAATAGGCCGTACCCAACCGTCGTACCCCACACGGCAGCCCAATCGTACCTACTTGTAAACCGTCGTACCCCACACGGCAGTCATGTCCGTAACTTACGTGGATGAGAGCCGAATGCACGCTGGGAGCGTAAACAAGCCCATCACTTAAAAGTTGTTTGTGTTTTGTGTTTTTAGCAACAAGATACTTCCGATTGTGCAATCTATTTTCATTACCTGTAAAGTGCATATTGCATAAGCAATAAACACATGATCGTGCCAATAACCATGATAAGTCAATTCCTGCGCTGGACTGTATCGACAGTTCTAGCCACATGATAAAAGTAGCCGCTGCGTCCCTAGTGACTGGTTTAGTATGCCGCCACCGCCGGCCCCAAACACATCAATCACGACCGGTGGGCCTGTGATCTCCCCGAGGTGAGTGGATTCTGACCAGTGGAGCGGCACCGCCCACCGCCCACCGCCCACCGCCCGGCGCCGAGTCGCACAAACAGAGCCATCCAACAGATAGGGGGCTCACGTGCCGGGCTGTGGCGAGCGCGGCGCCCATCGACGGAGACGCACCGGACCGCGTCCGACCAGGTGTCTGGGGAGAGCGGAGAGAGAGAGAGAGAGAGAGAGAGAGAGAGAGAGAGAGAGAGAGAGAGAGAGAGAGAGAGAGAGAGAGAGAGAGATGTGCCGGGGATGGGAGCGGCAGAGGAAGGCGCCCGGGCCGGCAGGATTGATGTCCAGGCAGGTGTGTTCGGACGGGAGGAGGAGACACACCACGGACGGCATCCATCCGAGAAAATGCCACCATTTGTTGGTCAGCGGAGAGAAAGGGTGGGCGGCGGCCGGGCGCCGTTAGATGAACGTTGAACACAACGTGGACGGCGTGGCGTCAGATGAACATTGGACTGAAAGGTGCGGAGACGAAAACAGAGAGCGAGGGGAAGTCAGCAGGTAAAGAAACACATTCAGTTGTGGTGGGCCATTGAACCCACAGGGTAGAGATGTTAAATTGATCTAAGAGGTGAAAAGAGAAAGGGAAAGAAAGAAAGAAAGAAAGAAAGAAAGAGAGAGAGAGAGAGAGAGAGAGAGAGAGAGAGAGAGAGAGAGGAGAGACTGAGAGCAAAGAATATATGCTATGCAGCCATTAAAATGATGAGCAGGCATATTTCCTTTCACGAAGTAAGGAGCATGTAACTTCAAGAACTAAAGAGGTCTTGCGACAAGTGCTCGCTGTCGTTTCGACTCAAACAGAGTCATTTACCTTCATTGCAGTAACAAATCATTTTCTAACAGTAATCATCCTCACACTAGAAATATATCATGTTGATTCATATCAGGGAACGTTATGCATAATATCGCTGAAAGCTAGGAAGCACGAGGGCAATTATTGTTCGCGAAATAAGCTGCCAAAATGTGCAGCGAAGATTAATGGCGAAATAAAACGCAATGAAGACAGATGGCTTGATTACGTTGTCACCATTGGTGCTCTGATTGTGTGATAACCACTGGCTACGCGCAGTTCCACACTCTGCAAAAGAGTGCTGTTCAGATAACTATTGAGTGCTGGGTAGCGCGCTGCTTTGTGTTAAAAGCTCTCTCTAAATGGACATTTATCAGAATTCAGAAGTTAACGATTAAGAAGAGAGTATAAAATTGTTAGGTATAACGATCTTTCAGCCTATAGTCTGTTCCATATCAAGTTTGCAGCAGTGGCGGATCCAAGGGGGGGGGTCACATGGGTCATGGCCCCCCCCCTTGAGGCCCGAGTGCCCAAAGACCTGCCAGGGGCACCACCGACCTATCAGGGGTATCACAGTCCTGACAGGGGCACCACAGGACCGCCAGGGGCACCACCGGCCTAGCAGGGACACCACGGGCCTGGTGCCCCTGGGCCCTGACAGGACTGTAACGCCCCTGACAAGCCTGAAGTGTCCCCGGCAGGCGGCAGGCACGTGGTGCCCCTGACAGGCCTGAGGCGCCCCTGCAAGGCCGGTGGTGCCCCTGGCAGGCCTGTGGTGTCCATGGCAGGCCTGTGGTGCCCTTGCTAGGCCTCTGTGCCCCTGACAGGCTTGTAATGCCCCTGGGAGGACTGTGGTGCCCCTGGGCCCTGACAAGCCTGAGGTGCCCCTGACAGGCCAGTGGTGCCCTTGCTAGGCCTGTGGTGCCCCTGGCAGGCCTCTGGTGCCCCTGACAGGCTTGCGGTGCCCTTGGAAGGACTGTGGTGTCCCTCGGCCCTGACAAGCCTGAGGTGCCCCTGACAGGCCCGTGGTGTCCTTGTTAGGCCTGTGGTGCCCCTGGCAGGCCTCTGGTGCCCTTGCTAGGCCGCTGGTACCCCTGCGCCCGGAGAGGACTGGCGCCCCTGAAAAGTCTGAAGTGCCCCTCGGCAGGCCCGTGGTGCCCCTGACAGGCCCAAGGTGCCTCTGCGAGGCCGGTGGTGCCCCTGGCAGACCTCTGGTGCCCCTGGCAGGTCTGTGGTGCCCCTGGCAGGTCTGTGGCGCCCCTGGCAGACCTGTGTTGACTGGTGCCCCTGCTAGGTCGCTGGTGCCCCTCACAGACCTGTGGTGCCCCTGGGCCTTGACAAGCTGAGATGCCTGGCTATGACAGGCTCGTAGTGCCCCTGATAGACCAGTGGTGCCCTTGCTAGGCCTGTAGTGCCCCTGGCAGGCCTCTGGTGCCCCTGCTACCCCTGCGCCCGAAGAGGACTATGGTGCCCCTGAAAAGCCTGAAGTGCCTCTCGACAGGCCCGTGGTGCCCCTGGGCCCTGGCAGTCCCAAGTTACCCCTGCGAGGTCGGTGGTGCTCCTGGCAGGCCTCTGGTGCCCCTGGCAGGTCTGTGGTGCCCCTGGCAGGCCTGTGTTGACTGGTGTCCCTGCTAGGCCGCTGGTGCCCCTCACAGGCCTGCGGTGCCCCTGGAAGGACTGTGGTGCCCCTGCCCCTAGGGCTGCTGATGGGCCCAACAGGCCCGTTGTGCCCCTGACAGGCCTGTCGTGTATACTTGCTAGACCTGTGGTGCCCCTGCTTCCTGGCAGGCCTATGGTGCCCCTGGCGGGCCTGTGGCGCCCCTGCAAGGCCGTAGGTGCCCCTGACAGGTTTGTGGTGTCCCTGGAAGGACTTTGGTGCCCCTGACAAG